AGACTTCATAGCACGTTGGCTCGTCACCAGAGCTCATGAGGACCAACCGACGCTAAACCTATGTCGAGGGCACAGGTGCTTCGACAGATGCAAGCAAACTAACTTCCAAAGGACGACAGAAACTTAACACATTTATGTACAATGTAAACATGCTACGGAGTAAACAATAAAAAATTCAAATAATTTAACCTCAAGCACAATCAAAATTCGACAAGTATCCACATGTATGTCTAACAAAACATTTGGCATGCGTTCGAGTTTTCAACATAGCTAAGAAACATGACGAACGAAGAAGTTTTACACAATTCGTTGATCATAATAAATTATAAGATGCAGACGTAATAGGCTAACAACACACTTTGCTGAGCACTTTGTTGTCGACCATCACGAAGTCACGTGGCTTCAAGTCCTCACTGTGGATTATATGATCGGGCACGTCAATATTGTACAGCCCATTACCCACACCATTGTACCACGCGTCCCGGAAGTAATGGTCATACCAAGCGGCGTTCACAGGCTGCACTGAATTAAAGCTGAACAAGACTTTCCAAAAAGGCATTCCACGCTTAACGTCGTAACCATACGCGTAACGGTTGCGCATCTTAAAAGGCAAAATAAGCTGCTCGAATCCTGAGAAACAGTAAGCAACCAATAAAGCCATCAGCAACAGATATACGAAAATCATAGTTTGGCATTTTTCGCAAATTAAGGTGTTATTAATATATCAGCGACCGACAGTACTTGATAGGCCGTTTGTCAGTGACGAAAAGAAGCGATAAGAAAGCTGAACACCAAGAAACTAGGGTAACGCTGATGTTCTGCAGAATAAATTGAAATTACATGGTTGATATCTATAGAGAGAATCAGAGAATGTAGCAAACGCGGACACTTTCAAACACCTAGGTTATATCGCCTTGTCAAACGAGCATCGTATGTAGGAAGTAGCGAGAGGAAAAACAATTGGAACGATTACACGAAAAGCCTAAAAAACTCAGCATGATAATTCAGAGAGAATTACTGAGCGACCAAGAAACAGACTTATCTCCTTTTTCAAAATTTTTCCTTTAACTGAGGATCTTTACTTGAATCATATATACTCGAATGAGTGCGAGTCATCTGGACTCTTGAACCTCAATGGATGGAAGCTGTTCTACTCAGGCGTCGATATCACGACTCGCGCTCAGG